AAAAAAAAAAAAAAAAAAAAAAAAAAAAAAGTTAGATGCAAATGGTTTATTCTGTCAAATCAGTAAATGGAATATTAAGCAGGAAATATAAACAGTTTAATCAACTGTTACTTGTAAATCACTTAAACTAATCTAATCAGGGGTAATTCCGTTGAAGTTATTGGAGTTGCCACTGATGTGCAACTGGTGAGAGATCAGAATCACTCTTAGTTAAGACAGCCAAGGTAATTATAATGCTGGTTTCCCTGTGCAGCTCTACTGATTACCTGAAGCTTGATATTTTTTTTTCTTCAAATTTTCTTATCGAGCACTAGTACAAAAGTAAACATAGTCAGCTAAGGACAAACCCAGATACTGGTCTGTAATACTCAGTAGTGCTGGATTCTGTTGATAGTGGCAAAGATATGTGGAGCCTATTAAATTCAGACAGACTTAATTGTTTCAGTTTGAATGGATTCTTCATGCTGTTATACAAATGTAATGGACAGTTGAAAGTTTTTGTCAGATGCCTGTTGGGGAAAAAAAAAAATGTGGTTGGCTTCTAATACCAAACAGAGGAGAACAGTTGTTGCATATCCAACAGATATATCTGTCTGGAAGCAATAGGGCGAGTTAAAGATTTCAGGAGATCTCTGTTTTGAGAAGTGCGGTTTTCATAAGGTTTAAGGTCTGAACTTCAGAAGCATTGAGCAACTGCAGTTCCCATTAATTCAATTAGTGTAGGTGCAAAGCTCTTGAAAATCAGACACCTAATATTTAGCTAGAAGTAAAATTTCTTTAAAGCCATTTTCTTGGGGTTTATTTAAACTCGGAAAACAAGACCTTTGGGAAATGTTAACCAACGTATTTTAACTGACATCTAGCGTATGCTTGGCAAGTCGTATTTAAAAGTACATTAGCAGTTAGTCAACCATAAGATAATCACTTTAACATGACTTACCCGATCTGTACTAGGTGAAAAGTCATGTTTTAAATCATGTTACTTAATACAGTAACTTCTCACTTAACATTGTAGTTATGTTCCTGAAAAATGCGATTTTATGCAAAACGATGTTAGGCAAATCCAATTTCTCCATAAGAATTAACGTAAATAGGGGGGGTTAGGTTCCAGGGAATTTTTTTTGCCAGACAAAAGACCTTATATACATATACAGTATAAGTTTTAAACAATTTTAAACAAAGAGTTTAATATTGTACACAGCAATGAATGGTGGTGAAGCTTGGTTGAGGTGGTGGAATCAGAGGGTGGAATATTTCCCAGGAAATGCCTTGCTACTAAATGATGAACTAGCACTCAGCTGAGCCCTCAAGATTTAATACACGGTTGTTAATGTAGCCTCACACTCTACAAGGCAGCATGGACTGAGGCAGGAGGGAGGAATCACAATAGATGCAGGGCAATAGCTGCAAACACTTCCCTGCAAAAACTGAACATGATGTTGATCCAACGCTATCCAGCTGGAGCACACCACTCCCTCCTCCTGACCGCATACATAGCTTCACAGGTGCATGCATGAGTGAGAGAGAGACACGTGCATTGCCCCTTTAAGTACGCTAACCCCACTTCAAGTACGTTGCCTTTTTAAGCAGATCCTCCAATTCTGACAGGAAGCAACAGCTTCCAGCAAGCTCCCTCCTTTCTGTCCCTGAGCCCTGTCCCCCTCTCCTGCTTTGTGGAGAGGGAGTACAGAACGGGGGGAGGGGGGCAGGAGCAGGGGGACATCCTGATATGAGCACCCCTCTCCCTCCCTCCCCTAGCAAGCAGGAGGCTCCCAGGAGCAGCTCCAAAGCAGAGCGCAGGGCAGGAGCAGCACGGCAGTGGGGGGAGGGACAGCTGAACTGCTGCTGGATATCTGCAGAGCCACGTACCTTAACAAGAAATTTAGGGGAGCTGATGGGGGGGGGAGTTGTTACCAAGCCCCCCTACCTTCCCCAACAAGCTTGTTCCCTAATAGATCAGCAACATAACAACGTTAACCGAGGAGTTACTGGATGTTTTCAAACACAGGATATTTTCCTAATCTAGGCAAACCCTTAGGAAAAATATTAAAAGTAATGACATTCTTTTTTTCAAAGCAGTGGATATTTTTTCTGGGTTCCTAGCTTAACTGTACAATTATCAGTTTCTTAACCTTGTCTTTGTTTTAAAATAAACTTTGTATTTACTATTATTTGCAGTACTCAATATTATTTGCAGTAGGAATGTTAATGTCCCTTTGGCTTTAATAACTGTAGGTCTGTCATATGCAAGTCACACAGTTGGTTTTACACCACCAACTTCACTGACTAGAGCCGGAATGTCTTATTACAACTCCCCAGGCCTTCATGTGCAACATATGGGACCGTCCCATGGAATTACAGTGAGTATTAAAAACTAGTAAATTTTCTTTTGAATTAAAATGTTAGTTATTTGTCTTTAACCCATTTTTAAAAATGCAAATGTTTGATTTTGTTTCCTTGCTCTAAGATGTCTGTTGCCTTCTTCAGTCCTGATTACCTCTCTACTTTGAGAAATTGATTCTTAGTGGAAAATCTTTTCTTTCTGAAAGAGAGTGGAACATGTTGTCCCCTTAAAGACAGTAATAGGTATCGCCCTATGGATCTGCAGGCAAGGTGTGAGACGTGATGTTCTAACCTACCCAGTGTTGCAGGAAGTAAATACATTACTTTCATTTTTCTCCTAGTCTCCACCACATCTGACGGATGAGTCATCTGAGGTTGCTTCAAGCTCAGGTTTTCTTCAAGATAATGCTACCACCGTGTCACTGTAACAGGCAGCTAATTATTATTTACTTTTTTTTTGTTTTCCAGTGAGAATAGCAATATATTAAACATTTGTTAGGACATTACTCAACATCTTTCAACTGGAATCATTTTTTATTTCTATTGAATTTAATGTACTTAACTTAATCAAGTTTTGTCTAGGACTGTCGATTAATCGCAGTTAACTCATGCAATTAACTAAAAAAAATTAATCGTGATAAAAAAATTAATCGCAATTTATCGCAGTTTTAATTGCATTGTTAAATAATAGAATACCAATTGAAATTTATTAAATATTTTGAATGTTTTCTACCTTTTCATATATATTGTATTCTGTGTTGTAATTGAAATCAAAACGTATATTATTTTTGCTTACAAATATTTGCACTGTAAAAATGATAAAATAAATGGTATTTTTCAATTCACCTCATACAAGTACTATAGTGCAATCTCTTTGTCATGAAAGTGCAACTTACAAATGTGTTGTGGGGCGGGTGGTTTTTTTTTTTTGGTACATGATTGCACTCAGAAACAAAACATTGTAAAACTTCAGAGCCTTCAAATCCACTCAGTCCTATTTCTTGTTCAGCCAATCGCTAAGACAAACAAGTTTGTTTACATTTACAGGAAATAATGTGCCCTCTTCTTATTTACGATGTCACCAGAAAGTGAGGCATTTGCTTGGCACTTTTGTATTTACAAAGGGATTGCAACGTCTTTACGTGCCATATATGCTAAACATATGGCCCTTCATGCTTCGGCCACCATTCCAGAGGACATGCTTCCATGCTGATGACGCTCATTAAAAAAATAAGCGTTAATTAAATTTATGACTGAACACCTTGGGGGACAATTGTATGTCCCCTGCTCCATTTTTACCCACATTCTGCCATATATTTCCTGTTATAAGTCTCGGATGATGACGCAGCACATGTTGTTCATTTTAAGAATATTTTCACTGCAGATTACACAAAACGCAAAGAAGGTACCAATGTGAGATTTCGAAAGATAGCTACAGCACTTGACCCAAGGTTTAAGAATCTGAAGTGCCTTCCAAAATCTGAGCGGGACGACGTATGGAGCTTGCTTTCAGAAGTCTTAAAAGAGCAACACTCTGATGTAGAAACTACAGAACCCGAACCACCAAAAAAGAAAGTCAACCTTCTGCTGGTGACATCTGATAATGAAAATGAACATGCATCGGTTCGCACTGCTTTGGATTGTTATCGAGCAGAACCCACCATCAGCATGGATGCAGGTATTCTGGAATGGTGGTTGAAGCGTGAAGGGACGTGAATATTTAGCGCATCTGGCTCGTAAATACCTTGCAGTGCTGGCTACAAAAGTGACATGTGAATGCCTGTTCTCACTTTCAGGTGACGTAAACAAGAAGCAGGTAGCATTATCTTCTGCAAATGTAAACAAACTTTTGTCTGAGCGAATGGCTGAACAAGAAGTAGGACTGAGTGAACTTGCAGGATCTAAAATTTTACATTGTTTTATTTTTGAATGCAGTTATTTTTCTGTACATAATTCTACATTTATAAATTCAACTTTCATGATAGAGGTTGCACTACAGTACTCATGTTAGTTGAGTTGAAAAATACTATTTCTTTTGTTTTTTACAGTGCAAATACTTGTAATCAAAAATATTTAGGGATTACTGTACACTTTGTATTCTGTGTTGTAATTGAAATCAGTATATTTGAAAATGTAGAAAACATCCAAAAATATTTAAATAAATGGTATTCTATTGTTTAACAGTGCGGTAAATCACAAGTACTTTTTTAATCGCGCAATTAATCACGATTAATTATTTTAGTAGTTTAACCGCCCTAATTTTTTCCAAATACTCATTGAGTTTATAAAGCAAACAAAGCTGAAACTTTAGACCTTTGGCAAGATACTTTGTGGCTGATGTACTTATTAAAAATATATTGAATAGAGCTTCCTGTTTGATACAACAGTATGCAAACAATCTCCTGCAAAGTGTTTCTTTATGCCAGTCTCGTCTGATACAAAACCTTGTTTCAGTAGATTTTTATAGAAGGGCACAAATATAGCAGTAGATTTGTCAAACCTTTAATAAAAAATTTTTTTCATGACAGAAATCTAGCTGGAGTGTGAGTACAGTAGAATATGCTAAAATGTGGACTTTCGTAGGTTAACTGTTAATATTAATTCCACAATCATTAAGGCCTACAACCATACCACACGGAGCTCTGATCTCATAGGGGAAGGCAGCATGGTCCAGTGGATAGGGTACCAGAGTAGGCGTCAACTTGGGTTCTGTTCCTAGCACTGCAGCTGACTCTGAGCTAGTTGCATAACCTCTTCAGGCCTCTGAAAAAATGGGGAATAATAATGTCTGCCCACTTTGAGAGAGACTGATTTTTAAAAAGGTATTAAATTTTTATTACTATTATCTTTATACGATAAGCTAATCAGGATCAAGCTGTGTCAGTACTTGGAGGGAAGACTTCCAAGACAAAAAGCTGGATGCTGCAGGAAATGGTGTTGATTAATAGGCACATAGCTCTTTGCCTTCAGCATGTACTGAACCAAGGCTCCACCATGGTATTAGAGGTTCACTCATGCTAGAGGTGCTTTCAAAGCAGAAGCCCAGACCAATTAGTTATCAGAAATCCTATGGCCTTTTTCACATAGTGTCAGTCTAATTTGTTGTATACATTTAAACTGCAAAGTAGGTGTCCTTGGTGTCCTGGCCAAATTCTAATTTGGAGAATTTTATGCCTACCTAAAAGGCACTTCAGTTGGAAAAGCAACCTCCTTAATAAACAATCAAGTTGTTAAGCTGTATATCTGTTGTAGAATTGTTTCCAGGTTTCTTTCCCAAAGGGTGGCTGTCTTTTCTTGCTTGGTTATGTCAGGGGGAGGGGTGTTTTGGAATTCTTAAAGATCTGACTTAATATACAATTGTTACTGTTACTATTTGGGTCATAGCTGCTGCAATTTTGAAGACATTTTGGTTTGTCTTAGGGCTGGTCTACACTGGGGGGGATCGATCTAAGATACGCAACTTCAGGCACGAGAATAGCATAGCTGAAGTCGACGTGTCTTAGATCGATTTACCACGCGTCCTCACAGCGCGGGATCAACGGCCGCAGCTCCCCTGTCGACTCCGCTTCCGCCTCTCGCTCTGGTGGAGTTCCAGAGTCGACAGGGAGCACGTTCGGGAATTGATTTATCGTGTCTAGACGAGACGTGATAAATTGATCCCCGATAGATCGATTACTGCCCGCGATCCGGCGGGTAGTGAAGACGTACCCTTACATTTTTATATTGCTAATTTTACAATAGTGCTTCCTCTACTCTGAAAAAAATATCAGTATAGTAGACGTCAGATCTTGCTTTGAAGAATATTTTCACATTTTATTGTACTTGCAAAAGGGCGAGCTGAAGACTATTACAAATCTGCAGTTTCTTTGGAGACAGTTCTGTTAGCCACTGTTTATTTGCAAGAGCCCAAAGGGATGTACTCACCATTTTTATAATGCTTGCCTCATAAAGAACAGCTTGATTTGTGCTGCCATATGACTTCATTTTCAGATATGATCTTTTTACAGTCATTTGGAATTTTCCTATACCAGTTTAGGTATGCACTTTTTAACTCCACATGTTGATAATGTTAAGTTGTGCTTATTAGCACCTGCTGCTATGCTTTGTTCAGTCATAGATAGTTATTGTATCTGAGCGTCTTCCTCTGTTCTTTTTTCTAGGTACCTATTTGCCATTAAGTGTTTCCAGGGCTACACTTAGGAAGGAATAATCAATTGCACAAATACAGTATGAGAAAAGATTGTCTAGACAGGAGTAGTGCAGACAAGGATCAGGGGTTTATAGTGGATCACAAGCTAAACATGGGCTAACAGTGTAATGCTGTTGCAAAAAAAGCAAATATCATTCTGGGATGTATTAGCAAAAGTGTTGTAAGCAAGTAATTCTTCCCCTCTACTCAGCACTCAGGCTTCAACTGGAGAATACGCCCAGTTCTGGGAACCACACTTCAGAAAAGATGTGGACAAGTTGGAGAAAGTCCAGAGGAGAGCAACAAAAATGATTAAAGGACTAGAAAATGTGACCTATGAGGAAGAATAGAAAAAATTGGGTTTCTTTAGTCAGGAGAGGAGAAGACTGAGGGGGAACATAAGTCTTCAGTTACATAAAAGGTTGTTATAAAGCGGAGGGTGATAAATTGTTCTTAACCACTGAGGCCAGGATAAGAAGCAATGGGCTTAAATTGCAGCAAGGGAGGCTTAGGTTGGACATTGGGAAAAAAATTCCTAGCCTTCAGGGTAGTTAAGCACTGGAACAAATTACCTAGGGAGGTTGTGGAATCTCCATCATCAGAGGTTTTTTAAAAACAGGTTACACAGACATGGGACAGGGATGATCTAGATAATGCTTGATCCTGCCTCAGTGCAGGGAACTGGACTAGATGACCTATTGCGATCCCTTCCAGTCCTACATTCTATTTCTATTTTATTTTTCCTGAACTGGCTTAGAGGAGTGGGCACTTTCTTTATCTCAAAAATGGTTCCAGTGAGCTATGCTAGTGCATTTCAAAGTTAGGTCAAATTCAGAATTTGTCTTGATAACTATTTACCTAAATCTGTATTGTGATCCTTTTTAATATTTTGGACTTAATCCTTCAATTTAATTTGGTATTTTGAATTTTGCCTTTAAACAATGTGTTAATGTGTCTGTAAGAGGACTTCTTGATATCAGCTAAAGCATCTTAGAAATGTATACATGTTCAACATAATTTCAATATTTGTTCTGCAGAGGCCTTCACCACGAAGAAGTAACAGCCCTGACAAATTTAAACGTCCCACTCCTCCTCCTTCTCCAAACACGCAGACCCCAGTCCAGCCACCTCCTCCACCTCCACCACCACCTGTGCAGCCTACAGTCCAATCAACAGCATCGCAGTCAGCCACTTTTCAGCATTCAGTGCATCCCTCCTCTCAGCCTTAGTGCATGTGCTCAGCAGCCTGTATTCAGAGTTGGACTCATAACATGGAGCAGTTTACTAAAAGCCAAAGGCTTACCTGGCATATTTGGATTTGACTTACTTGCACTGAGGTTATATAGGCTTCACTGTTAATTGTGTTGTAAACTTTTGTCTAAAAATGCAGCCAGTGTTGTGGGTCTACAACACTAACTTAACAAAATTTTCCATCAGTGTTTACTTGAACTACATGTATGTCCATTCTCTGGCTGGAACATTTGCTACTCTCTTTGGTAACACGGCATTATGTCGTTTTGCTTGGCTCCAAAGCTTCATTTTCCTGGCTTTTAGGTTTGTAAAATTAAAGGGATATCTTTTTATATTCTTTTCATGACAATTTGCATAAAATTACAGGCATGATGGGCTATATTATAAATTCCTAAATATTAACAGTGTTTACCAAGCATACGGTAAATCAGCACTACATTTCAATAATCTGAAGATACAGCTTTTAGTGCAAAAGTGAAAGTCAGACACGTTAATCAGTGCCCAAGACTATACTCTTATTGTATCACCTAATAAATACGCTTAATACAGGTTCAGTTTTCAGCACACATGACACATTCATAGTTTTTCCTGTTTAAAAAAAAAAAAAACAAAACCTCAAATGTATGGTGCGGTCTGAAGTTAAATGTGGGGAATCTAACTTGTCAAAGTATATGGAATGTACAAGTCATGACCTTAAAATTTGATTGTCTGATTTATCATTTATGTTAACTTGTAAGCTGTCCATACTGTGTGTTCTGTCACAATGAACTTCTATAAGTGTGGCCCTGCAACAAGTTACTGGTGGCTGATTTAAGTGTGCTCTTTGATTTCTGCTGCAGAAGGCAATGTGATTGTAGAGAACAGCTGATTTTTTTTCTTGTTGAAATATATTAATTGTGATTTCCCCTAAAACAAAGTTTGAACAACTATTTTAAATGTTCAAAAGACTATTAGAGAATATGGTATAAGATGAATATTATAGGAATATATTGGCATAACAGCCAAAAATGTTGTATTGCTTGGTAGAAACAGAACAGAGTACAGAGAAAGTAGCACAACATGGCACTAATGAATGCTTATTTAGCAGCCTAAGCCGGTACAATGTATAAAGAAGTGTATTCTGAATACATTCTTTCCATTCATTTAGCACAAATAAATTGTTTGGTTTCACTTTGCAGTGGAACAAAGTGTCACTTTTTTCTTTGATACTAGCATCTTACCTAGTTTTATTTTTAAGTTCCTGTTGGCTAGGTTTATATAATATTGATATTTTTAAGTGGTTTACCTCATATATTAGCATATGTGGGCCATGGAAAAAATAATTAGAAAATGTGTATTTGAGAATATGTATCTGGTCTAATGAGAACAGACCATTACGTACCTTATTTGTTTACAAAAGCTTTTTGACACACCTAACATTTCATTGAGCATGTTCTTAAGAAGGAAATATAGAAATTTGGTTATTTACTAACACTTGTACGTACATTTTCATATTTGCCATTCAACAACTATGTAAGAATTGCAGGGTGAAAATGGTAATCAATGATAGCAATCAAAATATCAAGTTAAAATAGTGTGCGACTGGCAAATATTACCAGTGCTTGGAGACTCTTGGACAAAAGGTGCTATATAAGTGCAAGCTAGTACTAGTGGTAGTGTAAAAGCTGTCTAAAGAATAAGAGGTGTGTGGTAGTGTTGCTTTAATATCTTCAAAAAAATTAAAATAACCCAGCATAATTTAAATTTGAAGCTTGGTCTAAAATTGAAATTCTGTAATGCAAGGTTTGAGCATTGTTATAAGATTTCACATAGCGAACTCTCCCTTATTAGTGTGGGATTTGTTACGAGTTGAAAGCAAAGAACTGACAAATGTATACTAAACACTGAAAATGTAACAAGGCACTGAAGTGGCCTTACTTAGCTAATAAGGTTGAACAAACGTAAGGACTTGTGCACATCCTTCTAATAAACATCAATGGATTTTCAGTTTTGCTTGTGAATTATAGTCTTCCATGATTCTGCAGCTATGGATTTACCAGGCTACTACAGAAACTTCTGTGGACTAGAGAAATTCACTTAAAAATAAGAGCCAACTTGACATGAGTCCCTTACATGCTTGGTTTCTTATTTTATCCAGTATACATGCAGGTGGGCTTTTATCTTCAACAATGGTAATATTTGCCAGTCGCACACTGCATGTCCACTAGTTGTGTAGCATGGTGAAATAGACAACCCAAGATGCTGCCATGTTTGGAGGGAATAGATTGTTCTAAGGGCACATCTTCACTAGTCATGTTAAAGTGCTGCCGCGGCAGCGCTTTAACATGGCTTGTGTAGTCGCGGCATAGCACTGGGAGAGAGCTCTCCCAGCACTATTAAAAAAACACCTCCACAAGGGGAATAGCTGCCTGCACTAGGAGTGCGGCTCCTGGCGCTGGTGCACAGTCTACACTGGCACTTTACAGCGCTGAAACTTGCAGCACTCAGCAGGTGTTTTTTCACACCTCTGAGCAAGAAAGTTGCAGCGCCGTAAAGTGCCAGTGTAGACAAGCCCTTAGTCAGAACATTCCTTGGACAGTACTCTGCCATAGGACTCATGCCTAACCAGAAGGCCACAGAAGCACTTTTCAGTAGTAATTGGTATTTAGGATGTGTGCACAATTCCTTCAAGCTCAGCAGTTAAGGGTATAAAAAGCCCTCTCCCTTCAACTATCCCCCAGTTGCTCTCTTTCCATTGCAGGAATGGTCACCAAACCATCCTCTTCTTTTTATTTCCCTCCCCTCTCTTCTCCCCCTCCCCCCCAAAGATAAGCAAGTGCCATTCCATTCTTTGGCAGCTAAACCTTAGGGGAGTCTGGTTCAGGCATGGGAATATCTAAGTAGACTCTGATATTCCTTTGGAGAGTTCTAGAGTTCATCTCACCGGGGATTTATTCTGTGGAGGTATTTTTGGCTCCATCTGAGTTTACAGGATCAGTAGTTCTTAATTATATAAAATCATTCTCTTGGGAGGAGGAGGTGGGACAGTTCTCAGGGGCACCTCCTCCACCTAATCCTTAGATAAGGTTGTGTTGACTGCTTCGTCCCCTTTTCTGAATGACATTATGGTCTTTCAAAACTTGGTGGGCAGAGGATGATTCTTCTTTGAGTGATTGCTCATGCGTATTCCACAGTAGGTGTGCGTGCTTGCCACGTGCACCGGTGCCGGAAGTTTTTCCCTCAGCAGTACCCGTAGTGGGGGAGCCCCGCTGCGACCCTTGGAGTGGTGCCTCTATATTGCGCTATAAGGGGCGCTGTGTGCTCCCCCCCACCCTCAGTTCCTTCTTGCCACCAGTGAAGGTAGTCGGAACTTTGTATTCCAACTTTGTTGTAACGCCTCTAGCCTTAGTGGTACGATTCTTTGACCGTAGATAGTTTCTCTAGCCTGGCATGGGGCATGCCCCGTGCCCCAGGCTTCAAGTCGTGTGACTCCTGTCGCAATTCCATGCCCAGAAGTGATCCACATTCTTAGTGTCTTCGCTGTCTGGGTGAGACTCACGTAAGTGAGCGTTGGAAAATCTGCAAATCGTTCAAGCCTCGGGCTGGAGGCAGCATTGGCAGCGCGTGACATCCTCGTCCTGCCGGTGCCAGGCACGCCGCCCGAGTCAGGCCCCCAGTCCCGAGGGAAACCGCCACTGGATGCTCACCAACCATCTCCAGCCAGATCCGAGGCTGAGATGCCTGCCCATTCCGAGGGGCCTTCCCATAGCCCGCGACAGACCTCTACTCCATCGGCCGGGTTGCCTGAGAGCGAGTCTCCGGAGGCCTCCACTGCCCGGAGGGGCCGCAGGCACCGTGATAGAAGGCATCAACGCTCCTCTTCCAGCCGGAGTGATAGGAGTAGTTCTCAATACCGTCAGCACCGCCACTCATATTCGAATGTTCGCCAAGACAGACGCCATACTCGGAGCACATCCCGACCGTCACCGAGGTGTCGTAGCCATGGTCGCCAGAGGGATGCCAGAGACGGTTCATCCGACGTATACATGTTGTCGAGGTCCAAATCCTGAGGTCGGCGCTGACATGGCCGGGACTGGCCCAGCTGCTCGTACGACACCGTGCGTTCATTGGTGACGTCAGCCTCGGCTCCCAGCCGTCCCTCCCTGGGCCACATTGCCCCTCAAGAGCAAGTGGCTCTGCTAGGACCCCATATGGGCCAGTGGCAAGGGGCGCCCTTGCAAGGACAGTGGTGCCAATGGACACCGTGGCCCCAAGCGCCCGCACCGGTGAGACCCCGTTCCGTGGCAGGGGCATCCCAGGTCCACTCGGCATCCACGTCTCGGCACCAAGATCAGTCCTCGGGCACTGAGCCACCGGCACTGCACCCGGTCCCAGATGTGGGGTTTGAGCCGACGGTACCACCCGACACCCTGGAGGCAGCACCAGTCGCCTCGTCGGCACCGGATGAGTCTATAGCGGCGCCACCCCCTGTCTCTCAGGAGGACTTTAAGGCTCATCAAGAGCTTCTTTGATGGCCTCGGCTATTTCCATGCAAAGGGCGTCGTGGCTCTCACTGTCTGTGGAATCCCAGTCCCTCATGCAGGACCTGCCCTTCGACGGGAAAACCCTGTTTGCGGGCCAAACAGACACTCGTCTGTATGGGATGAAAGACTTCCGCACCACCCTGCAGACCCTAGGCCTGTATGTTCCGCCACCCAAGGACAAACCCAGGCCTCAGACCTCGGCTCCCCCAGTTAGGGGCAGATATGAGCCCCCGCCTAAGAGGCCGAGGGAGCAGAGGCGTAGATCCCAGCGCCAGTCCCGTTCGGCCCCACGACCTGGCCCCTCGAAGGGCAAGAGGCAGGGGAAGAGGCGTTTTTGACTCTTTGCAGGGGGCCACCGGGCCTGTTGCCTGGGAAGCCCCCTAGTTGTTAAAGTTGGTGTTTGGCAACCGTTTACCTGCCTTCTGAGTGCAATGGTCCCATATAACGTCTGACCGGTCCCATATAAATGTCCCATATAACGGTCCCATATAACGTCCTCAGTACCATCTCCAAGGGGTACATGTTGCAATTCGCCCCCCTCCCCACCATCCTCCGTCCTGGGAGGTCCCCGAAGACCCAGAGCATGCCCTCCTTCTAAACCTGGGTGCGGTGGAGAGTGTACCTTGGGAATTCCAGGGCAAGGGGTTTTAACCCCGGTATTTCCTGATCCCGAAGGCGAAAGGTGGGCTCAGGCCCATCCTTGACCTGCGGTATCTCAACCAGTTTCTGGTCCGTTGCAAGTTCTGTATGGTGTCCTTGTCCTCTAGTGTTCCGTCCCTAGACCCGGGGGATTGGTTCATGGCCCTGGACTTCCAGGATGCATACTTTCACATCCATATTTTCGAGAGTCACAGGCGCTTCCTCCGTTTCCTGGTAGGGAAGGACCACTACCAGTTTACAGTCCTTCCCTTTGGCCTCTCTACCGCCCCCAGGGTTTTTATCAAATGCATGGCAGTGGTGGCAGCCCACCTCAGGTGGAACGGGCTGCAAATCTTCCCCTACCTGGACGACTGGTTGCTCAAGGGCAAGTCTCGATCCCAGGTACAGGCCCAGGTGGAATTCCACCTAGTCACTTGCAACAGTCTAGGCC